GGTAGTTTAGACCAAACAAAAAGGCATTTAGGTGGGTATTTTAGTATTCCGGCACAACGAACAGATAATGGTGATCGTCTGCTGCAACTGTGCTCAGACAATCGTTTATTTTTAGCAAACACAAATTTTAAGCATAAGGAGAAACATCGTCTAACATGGCGACCCCCTACACCAAACCAACGATGGACTCAAATAGACCATATTGCCATCAGTCATCGTTGGAGAGGGTCGGTAGAGGATTGTTGCTCATTCTGGAGTATCTGCTTGGGCTCCGACCACGCCCTAATACGGGCACGCATCTGCTTGCGCCTCACCACTGGACGCGAAATAGCCTCAGTAAAAAGACCCATGATAACTGAATTGAGTAGCGAGAAAACCAAAGTGCGTTCCAGGAACAACTGAGGTCACACTTAGGTAGTTCTGAAGACGAGTTTGACCCAGATGTTGCTTGGAAAGTTATACAAACAGCTGTGGAAACAGCAGTGACATCTATCAGTGATTTAAACCACGGGGTTACAAAGAACCAATGGATTTCCTCTAGGTCTATTGCACTGATGGGTTCTCGTAAACTCATCCCATCAGGCTCTGAACACGATGAAGAGCGACAAAAAATTAGATCTATGTTAAGCAAAAGTCTAAGGAACGACCGTGAGCAGTGGTGGGCAATGAAAGCAGAAGAGATGGAAAAGGAGGCGGCTATAGGTTGTATAAGACAGCTCTTCAGACTAATCAAAGAAACTGGAATTAATAAAAGACGACACCTTCATCTGCTCTCAGTCCAGACGTTTAAAACAATGAGCGGAACATTTCAGAGAACTGTTCAGCTGGCCTTCAGCTACTCTACAACTACCCTCCATTCCCAGACAGTGTGAATGGAACATTGAAGTAGGTCCCCCAACTCTAGCAGAAGTTCAAAAGGCTATAGTTAATCTGAAACGAGGAAGGGCAGTTGGTCCAGATGGATTGGCTCCAGAGGTCTTTAAGGATGGTGGTCCAATTTTAGGTTGACTAATATTTTAGCTAAGATCTGGGAGTTAGACGTTATTCCATCTGACTGGTCACAATCACTTATCGTCCCAATATATAAGAGAGGGTTAAAATCATCTTGTGACTACCATAGAGGGATTAGTTTAACTAATATAGTATTTAGAATACTAGCCTCGATAATTATCGGACGCCTAAGACTCGTGAACTGCGAACACGAGAGAATCAAGCTGGCTTCAGACCTGGTCGTGGCTTCGTCGACCACATGTTCACCATTCTTCAGGTTCTAGAGCATAGGTATACTTACCGGCGTCCGACAATGGTGGTCTTTCTTGACTTGAAAGCAGCATTTGACTCTGTAGACCGCGAGATTCTGTGGCAGTCTCTGTCATTGAAAGGCGTACCTCAGAAGTACATAAACCTCGTGAAGGCTCTTTACTCAGACACTACTAGTCGAGTCAGAGCTTATGGCGAACTGTCATCTGCTTTTGGAACCTCAAGTGGTGTCCGTCAAGGCTGTCCACTTTCTCCATTTTTGTTTAACTTCATCATAGACCTATTGATGGAAATAACATTCTCGTCGACTGAATTCTCGGGTATTGATCTCCATCCAGGAGGTCCACTTATCGACTTAGAATACGCGGATGAAATAGTCCTGTTTGGTGAAGACGCTGATAAAATGCAGTCTTCTGGTAGCACTAAGCAACAATGCCAGAATGTTTGGAATGCGCTTCTCTCCCTCTAAATGCAAGTTGTTGCCACAGGACTGGTCTTTGTCAACACCTGAACTAGGGATAGGGAGTGAAGTAGTCGAACGCGTTGGCAACTTCACTTATCTTGAAAGTCAGATCAGCCCTAATGGTTTGGTGTCTGACGAAATCTCAGCACGGATTCGAAAAGCTCGTTTGGCTTTTGCCAACTTACGTCACCTATGGCGAAGGCGAGATATCCGTCTATCAATAAAAGGACGAGTATAGTGCGCGGCAGTCCGTTCTGTTTTACTTTACGGCAGCGAAACATGGCCACTAATCTTAACCTGTTGACTACCTCCAACCACCATCTTAATCTCAATACATAGTGCCCGCAGTGTCGAGTCACCTAGACTGGTGGCCGCATTGCAACATGATCGATAGCATTCGATCTGCACTAATAAGGACTAGACAAGCATGAGATTGATCACCACCCAGTGATCAATCAATTGTGATTACATCTCAGTCCTACAGGAGGTTAGTCACGGCTCGGATAGCTCAGTGGTAACGTCTCTGACTATGAAGCTGGGTGACACGAGATCGAATCCGCCAGGGAGCACCAGTTCCCTCAAGATTACAGGTACACCTTGCTGACGAGTGCCAAGTAGCACGAAACCCGGGTCCATGGTTTCCTGTTGACTACCTCCAACCACCATCTTAATCTCAGTACTTCTGTGTGCTAGGCTCAAAGAGAATTGTATGCTATATGTTATGGATGCAGAATAATGTGCCAATCATTATCATGTTAAGCCTAGTGATGTCCTTGGACGTTAAATGGACACTTCCTATTGGCCATTATTTACTTCATCCGTTAAATATTGTACAAATGTTGTTTTCTATTTTTATGGTACGATGTGGTATGTTTGGTTAGTATATAAATAGAGTATATCTGAAATACAATGATTCATATCTCAGAGGTTGTGACTTGTGTTCTGGACTCAACTGACTGGGCTAGACGGGGAAGCGGGACCAATCGGGGCTCTAGGTCGTCCGTACGTGTTTACGTGTCATTGGATCGATCGATAAATACGCTGCTTTCTAATTTTTCTAGTCAAGGACACAACAATTAGCACAGGGTAAGAATCGGCCCAACTTAAAGTCATAACACTATATGCATGCAAATCTGCCCCGTTATTGTTCCTATTTGACCCCCAAATGCCCTGGTACGACCGAGGGTGTGGAAAGTCCGCCCTCTCGAAATACTCTCACATGGCCACGCGCATACAACCACTGCCAGAGAATTCCTGTTCACTGTCTTCTCTCAATGAGGGTGTTGTTCACAAAATTGAGAGGACGGAAAGCGGATGTCCGGCGCTTTAACTGGGTTGGTGGACACGGTGGGTTCACCTAGGGGAGTTGGAAAACCCTGATTCCAAACCACTGGTACACATGGGCTCCAGGATCCTGAGGAAACAAATGGCGTATGAAGCTGTTGTTGGTCGCCGATGACTTTACGTTGCTCCACTTCCTTGTGGGTCAGATCATTAGGTCGAAGGCTCTGGTTGTGGCGCCCTAAGAAAACCACTTGCTTTGGTCCGGGTACCCGGGCAGTATCACAACCCACACACAAATCAAGTGACTTGTGTGGCTCATATGTATTCGGTGCCCCTTTGTGCCATTATTTATATGTTCAAATAAATAAATTTTCAACTAGTTTCGATAGAAGGCATTTGGAACTTTCAGTATGATCTCTAGACCCCAGGAATGTTCTGATGTAAGCTTTTGCTTACTTTTTTTACTAGGTTGTGTCAAGAAGAATCGTCTATACACTTACTTTTCACATAACATCCAAACAATTGTAAAATTAGAAACCGATAAGTTTTGAACGGTCCGTGGATATCTATAGCCTTGACTGAGCTGGTTAAGTTTCGGTAACTCATCTTTGCTATTAATTATGAACTGACAAAAGTTCTTCGCAATGCTTACTACGACATAAAAAACACTGGTCTACTATCAAACTAGGTTATTGAAATGATGTCCTGAGCACTGAAAGGTAATTCAACCAGCCTCAAGCTAATTTCCCTGTACTCGATTAAATAGTTTTGTTGTAGATTTCTACGGCTTCATCTTCTACTGATAAGCTGATTGACTTGAAGTATTCAGATAACATAATTCTGTTAGTCGGATACAGGCACAAAATATAAATATTTGAGTGACAGCCTAATAATGTTTGGAATGGGTTTCTCTTCTAAGTGTTTTCCCGACAGTGTTCTGCGTAAATCAATGATTATATCATGAGGAATAGAACAATCTTATGTGTTGATCATTCCACATGCCCTAAGAGTTTTTGCTCAATAGTTAATGAAACGCTGGTACGGATGCAAAAGCTCCCCGAATGTACCAACTCAGTCAGTCAGTAACAACGTAGAACTTCGTACGTACGTACATCAGTTCGAGTTGCCACACCACATTAGCACAGAGATGCAGTTGTCGATTCAAATCCCGTAGTCGTAGAGGTAGCAAGAGTATAAGCAGTAATCGGGAAGATTAGGGTTTGGAGATGTTATTTAAAGAGTATAATCCAGTGAAATAAATTTGGAAAGAGGAAAAAGGAAGGGACATGAAGAATTCAGAAGATTAGAATTTGGGAGAACACAAAGAGTGGATGCACCTGCGCCATTGCAAACGATTTTGAGCCATGTCATTCAGGGTCTCTAACCATCGGCTGCTATCATCTCGTGGTCCACAACCAGGTAGTCTACACCTACCAACATGACTCAGTCCACTTGTCAGTGACTTCATGGACTTGTGCCATGTTTTGGTTTGGCCGCCCCTAGCAATGTACCAACTCAGTTGTCTTTCAGTGAACATAAACACTGCAGTAGTTTACCCAATCACCAATTACTCTGAAATACTTTGATGACTATTATAGGAGTAGGTAGGAGATAAAAGAGCAGCTGTCAAGCCAGTATATTCACTCAGTCTTTAAACCATTCACCTTTAGATAGGCGTGCCGTGAAGTTTAATCTCAATGGTCCCAGTTTGATAGTTGATAGTCGTCTGTGGTTACAGAAATACGTTGATATTGCTCAAAATTAGATCCACTAGTCTTGACGTACTCATTCTCTATCAGCTTTAATAATTCGAATTTATTAAATATTGTTGTTCTGAACAGTTATCTTTGGTTTTTTAAGATAATAGAACGTTAGTTGACCTTTTTTCTTCTATTTGTATTTTGCCGTAATATAATAATTGTCACATTTGTATATTTCGCTAATCCCTAATGCTTTATTTGTATCCATTCGGTTGTCTTCTTACTCATACAAGACAATTTAGCTTGGAAAAACTGGCGCTCAGACTTGGAACTACTCAGTCGATATCCAAATGTTTATTGCAAAGTTACTGGTGCTACTGGTTGTATACAAAAGTCTTCAGAATCATCTAACGATACATCCGATGTTTACAGTATTGATCAATGGTGTGCCAGTTCAGCTTTATCTCATGCAATCAGTTGTTTTGGACCAGGCCGTTGTTTATTTGGCTCCGGTTGGCCAATATGTCGATTATTCCAACCAAATCAAACAGGTTGGCCTGAACAAGCCACAGCTAGTGATTTACAAACATTTGATATACCTGGTGAAATAGCCGCTAAACGTGCAAGACGATCAGTTCCATTGAAAGTTCTTAATCTATGGGAAACTGCTAGATTGGTGGAACATGCTATGGGTGATGCTGGTTATGGATCAGTTGAAGATAAAGAGAAAATATTTTCGACAAATGCACAACATGTATATAGTTTATCTATTCGACCATATGGTTCATGTCCAAAACTTAAACCTTCTGAATAGTATTGAACAATCAATTGTATCATATTATAAATTATGTACAAAGTATTTAATGTATTATTATCTATACGCATTATCGATGAATTGGTTTTCATACAATGCAAAAAATTTTAGTAATGGGTTTTCCCCCGTTCTATCTGTATTGAAGCCTTTTTGCTGTTATATAATTCAGATAATTATACATTTGCCGGGATTGCTTCATTGTAAATAATGCTTATAAATTGAACAACTTAACTGAGATTTTTTAAAACTAGAACCTGGTAGAAACTAAAATATCTAACCAGTTTTCGTTATTATCGCTGTTTTTTACATTCTCAGAGAAGGTGAATATCATTAGATGGATGATTAGTGAGAATAATATGACGTTTAGTCATAGCTATATTCAGTATTATAAATACTGAAATCTTTTGATGTTTTTCTCCAGTAATGGTTTGTTCACCTTCATACCTAGCCTTAATTATGTATTGAATTATTCATCTCATAGATAAATCTTTCCTCTCTGTGTGTTTATTTCACTGAATACATAATATTCTCATTTGTTGTCTGTAATTGTATTATTTCACCTTGTCATTTTCATCTCGTCGTGCTAATGTGATGTGGTAACTTCGGCTAATACATATTTATGACAAGTCCTACGTTGATTATAACAAATTTATGAAGTCAAGAATTTCACGATCTGTGTGATGTTGGATGAGCTATAAATTTATTAATACTGGGAATTTATGTTAATTTCTTTACATGTGAAAAAAGTTTTCGTTTGTACGAAGCTCTGGCTATCTCATTTTGGCTTCGTTGTCTAACCTGAACGTCACGACCGTTAGTTGTATATGATACGATTGGAAATTCATTGGAGCATCAAGTAATTGCCTTAATATATTTATCAATGGAACTTCAATATGTCAGCGTTTTGTAAATGATTTATAAGAGAGTAATTATAATTATTAATGACACAAGATCTAGTATTGATTGGTAATGTGTTCGACTTTGGATCGAAATATTGATACCATAAAATATCTTGTGGGTTCCTGTTTCGAAGTTTGTATTACATCATATGATCCAGAATGACAGTCTAATGTCATAGATTGATTCTCTTTTGTGTTTTCCTACATACGGTTAATCCAACTTGCGTGATACGTAGGTATATTGGTTTGCTGAATAGAAGTAATTTCGCGACCCTTGTCTGACATATCTTCATCTGTAACTCGACGCTAACCTTGAAATTTATTTTCGGTGCTTTCGACTTCCCCTCGAAGACATCTATGATTGAATCACACTGACCATATTAGTTTGTTTGCTGCCCTATGTTGGGTACCAGTAGTTTGCTTTTCGGATGATATACTCTTCTACAAATAACGATTTATTGACATTTCATTGTTGTTTTTTTACTTCAAAACTGCTTATGTAACTAATGCTTCTCGTTGTGGTTTTTCTCACTGATTATTAAATTGCTGTTATGTATGACAAAAACGATATTTAAATTAAGAACTTTCGCACCAACTACCTAACTTAATTATTTCCAACTTCTTCACGATCTTATTCTCTTGTGTATCGGAAAAATATTTTTTCTATCTGCCTAAGAAAATTTGCTAATGTCGGGTGGGAGACAAATGTCACCAGTGGTAGTACATAATTATTTCTCAACTTCACGAATTAACTGAAGTTCGAAATGTATGCCACATCTCTGGGTTTTATCTATCGTGAGGTTATGAATGCGTACGTCTGTTAAATTCTATACTAGAATAAAATAATTATCGAATGCTCTATAGTTTACAATGATTGTTTAACTATATTCAATTCGTGATCTAAAACCACAAAATTCAATGATCTTCACAACCCCCTATACTAAAAGATCAATCTCAGATAGTCATTAAATTCATAACATGAAATTTAGTTATTTTGAAAAAAAGCGATCCATTGAGTTCTACTATTAAGTAAATGTCATTTAGATACTCAAATTAAGCAAATCGAAACATCTAGGGTAATAATTATGCAAACGTAACTTAAACTGAGATACTAAATTATAACTTGAGTGCGTTTGTACGTGTACGTTATTTAGTTGTATATGTGTCCACATGTAGTCAAGTGTTATATTGTGTGGATAATATATATATATATATATATATATATATATATATATATATCGATGCTAAACATGATCGATTTTCAGTTTTTATCACTAAGGTGTATTCTTCAACCTCTTATAGTTTTTCAGATGTCAACTTATAAGTAGAATGGTGTAATATGCTTCTTTTTCCTTTAGTTATTCAAAGTATCATTAAATGTTAATAAATAACTTTGACTGTAAATTATTTCGAAAATAAAATGAGATTGTAAATATTTGTTTTTTCCAACACGAGATATGTAAACAGAAGATATTAAATGTTGAATGCTGTCGGATCTTTATATGACTTTGAGTTATATTCGTTCTATTCGTTTAGTTAGTCAGTCATGAATTTGTTTTTGCTCCTTAAACGATAGTGGAACAGTATCTGGAATTGATTGTAACTGATAATCTGGATTATTGGTCATAATTTTAGTAATCTTAATATAATACGATCACAGCGTCACTTGAAGTCTTATGTGTGGTCCTTGTTATCGTGAGAACTCTCATACTTGTATGAAACAGCTGCTTAATGCTTGCTGGTTTCCAATGGGTTTTACAGTTAATCTATAGAATTATGGTCTACATCGTTATTAGTACTACTGTAATAATAGACCTAGTCCTAAAACTGTAGGTATGTCATGATATGACTGCCTATTCTATGAGACCGTACTTGGAATTCACATCATTGTCTATTCTGACTCGTATAGTAACAAGCCGCGATATAACTGTTGGCGTTCGTAAAAAACATTCAGGTTAAAGATAGAATAATATATTTAACGTGAGTAAAGACATGTTATGCAGTGACCACGTCTGCGAGGCTGAGCCATGACATCCGATTGATTTCAGGGAATTCTGCCAGCCTCCACGGGTCACTTCTTCGTCTTGATTGCAGAATATGAATTTTCCCATATTCATGTTCAGCTTTGAGGGTTGTAGTTAGGATCAATACCACTACAATTCTATTGGTTCTATAAACGACTTTCCAAATGAATGGTCCCTACAATTCCTTACTGGATGTATTGAGCTTTTAGAGCAAACTAAGGGCAATCAAAGTGGTTGTTCATTCGTTAAATACCGTTAGATCTCGGCTCAGTGGTCTAGAGATTAGGCTCACGCACGTGATATTGAAGTCTTAGGCTCAATTCCTGGACGTGGGATCGTGAATATCCACCACTAAGATAAAACGGCCGTCAATTCCTTCCAAATTTCCAATGACGCTCTAGCTAAGATCAGATCATGATTGGAAATTTATGAAAAGTTTGTTAAAAACAATTTCAATGTTTCGGAGTCATTCACACAACCTTATGATGTATAGTGTTACATTTTATGTATTGAGATGGCTTACGTTTTATTGATGCACCAATTAGATTTGAATAGACTAAGAATTAAAACTGAGGTAGAATTATGTGTATTCACTATGCTTGGTGAATTCTCATTCACCTACTAACAAACTTAATCAAATAAAAAGAACGTATTTATTAGATTGAAAGATTACATATTGCTGCTGAAGTAAATTTGGTAATTGTGAATACCTGACATTGTGATGGTTATTTACGAAGTCATCATTAACACTGAATTACATAAATATGATTTTCGGAGCCTAACTGTCGTTCAAACACAATGCTAAACCATGAATGAAAAAGTCATTTAGGTTGTACCAGGCAGACACTACTTCTATTATAAAAACAACATTGTAAAAAATGCTAGAGATTTATGAAGCAATAAGTGGTTCAAAGTCATTCCTATATCATATATATAAGAAAGATACCAATGCATGGTTTTCAATGTCTTTGTCAATATTTGTCCATTCTCGAGTCATAGAAACCACTCCTTAATCGTTGGACATACAAATTATAAGTTTATTTAAGAGAGTATATCTATCAACTCCAAACACTGTTTCCCAATCTGAAAACATATTAAGAATTAAAGTACAATCATTATGTCTTTGTTGTTGATGACTTTCAGAAAATATTTCATATAAAACTATCTGATATCAATCAATATATGATATACATAAACCAATCTCTTTGTGTTTTAAACAAGATTCTAAAATCATAATAAGAATACTAAAAGAAATTAACATTTGTTGGTATATATATGAAGTTTAAGGACACAATAATAAAACCGTAAGCCAAACAAAACATAATTCATTTTCTTATTGGAGACTAAAAATTTATTTTGAACTTGTATTCATAGACCTTAACTGATATTTATTGTGTGAGCAATAAGATCAACTATATGATAATCGATTTCCTTATCATTAATTTATTAGAGTTATTTAGCTGAATATATTGTGTAAATATATGAAAAATTAGTGTTTCCGATAGTTTGATGTCGAGTGTAGTAAAAGAAATAGTAATATTTATACTACTCCTCTATTATATAATTCTTAAACCACATTATTATTCACACATTTCCACCACCTGATCCTCTGAAATTATCTTAACTTCTCAAGTTCTGTTTAATTATTATTACGTAACCCATCTTATGATTATTCAATTCCATTATTTTCACAGATTGAAATCATGAGTCAGTTGAAGCTAGACCACCGTTGAAAACCTGGAAGCACTGGACGGCCGTTTCGTCCTAGTATGGGACTCCTCAGCAGTGTGCATCCCGCGGGATTCGAACCCAGGACCTACTGGTGGTCTAGCTTCAACTGACTCATGATTTCAATCTGTGAAAATTTCTAAAATCTCCACAAACCCTTTCTGATAATTCCATTATTCTCTAAGATTATCACATAATTTATGAACTTCACTAAACTATTACACCACCCAACCCGAACTAATTCCTTTTGACCTCTGACCTGTTCTAGGATATATATATATATATATATATATATCAATTGTTTTCACACTATCTCAATGTAAAAATTTTGTCACATTTTTGGTTTGTAAGCAGCTGACGAGAAACCTCGAAATAATATGAATTCATACTATTCTGCATCAACATTTGTTCTTGCTTTATTTAAATTCATAAAGGGAACCGAATGCATAAAAGAAAAGTGTTTTAGGTAAGAATTATTCTTAATTCATTTGAAGTGGTTTTTTGAATCGTCCTACTGATGTTTAGGACTGTAGTCTATAAGTCTCTTTTGGAATATGTGCATCCTATTCTCATTACCTCAATATTGTTATTAAGCGACAAGCATTATTAGCAGAGATGGGTGGTGACTAGCATTTGAATTTAGGACATGCTTATAATGCTTGTGACTTGATGGCAATATCGAGGCAATCCTTACAGGACGTACATATACCAAAAGTGACTTATCAATTGCAGTCCTAAACATCAATGAGAGGCTCCATGAAAACAATGTATGTATTAATTAAAATCTACCACACTGAACAAACTAGTGGCTATCTGGACTCAGAAAATATAAACCTAAATTGCATGAGAATTGTAAATTATTGTTATCATTGAAAAATCAGTGATGTTAGCTTAAAATGATACAGCTGATTTTTGTGTGTGTCTAATTACACCGGAGACAACGTCTAATAAGAACATCTACAATCTGAGCTTGAATATTTACAAACCTATCCGTATTTTATTGACCAAACTTGAATAGGGATATTTCATTTGCAACAGTATCTTTCATTGATTTGGAACCCCTGTTGTTTGTGTGCACTTAGGAAACCAGTTACTGAATTCAAACAATGATTAGAGAATGGATGTGTGAAAATTACTATTTAAATTATCAAGCATAATTTGATATTCTCAAATATACTCAAACTATATAACGAAATTAAATAACTGAATACTCACGTCTCATTTCATCTATTTGTACACTTATACGATAATTTTAGAAATGATATTTAAATCAGTATGAAAATGCAATTCATTACGATATAAATTCAGATGAAATGGATATTTGCTTCATCTTCCATAAAGTAACATTTTAGTGTATTTGGATCCAATAGCTTTGTAATGTGGGTGATTAAATGTAAATTTTTGTAAGAACATATCACAGTGATTATTGATATAGTTATCAAGGATTCAATTGATTGAAATGAGAGCAGTATACGAAATTGATGATTTTCCCCAAGAGTCTATCATATGTAATCACATTCTAAGAAGAAGCAGTCATATTAGTTTTATCTATTTGCCATAGACTGTTGATTTTACAGTATTTTATACATGTGCTCATGTATATCGTAGAATAATTGATGTCCCGCGAGCAGGACCGTGGATGCGCACTTCTGAGGAGTCCCACAATAGGACGAAACGGCTGTTCAGTGCTTCCAGGTTTTCAATGGTGGTCTAACATTAATCAGTTCATGATCTCAATCAAAAACTTAATAATTATCACAACCCTATACTGATAAGTGATTTCAGGTGCTACTTAAGTTAATATACACACGCCTGACTCAATCAGAGTAAGTCATATAAAAATCAACATGCTACAGGTATATTTTGGGTGTCAAACAAATTTTCATGTTCTTACTTACATCTCGCAATTAAAAGGTTCAAGTAGTCAGTGCCAATTATCTACCTT